TGCAGTGTTTTTTGTTCTATGGTTGAGTGGAAAGGAAACTATCCCATTTAAGAAATACACATGAAACAAGGAAGAAATGGAGATTCTTATTATCACTGAGGTATAATGCAAAGGCGTATCTTTTCTCTGTGATCTGTTCACCTCCAAGATCAGATACAATTAGAAAGAACTCCATATGCTGTTCTCAGAAAAGATGACATCAGTTTTCTGAGGGTGAAAATTATCAAACCTACAGTATTTTTATTAAACTTACAGTCTTCTTACTAAACCTGAATATTGTAAGTCCCTACCAAAGGACTAAAAAATGCTTAAGGTTGCTTTTTTTGCTGGGATAGACAAATTGAACAATTGTGGAGTTCTTTGGGTAAAAGTTACTTGACGATGTTGATTCACAGTGGTGGTAGATGCAGCTGTGTTAATGGTGTGCATTTAAAATCAATAAAGTTAAACATAACGCTGTCCCCTCAGAGGTTGGTGCCTTAATTTGCCAGCACTTGGATGACGCATTGCAGCTGACCTGAAGCTGCCCCCTAAACTCAATCAACTTAGAAGAAAACAAGTCCCTGGATAAGTTTGGGATAGGTTGCATTCAAACCCAAGCAACTACCTCAGCCAACTCTGCTCTAGCTGAGATCCACATACACCACTGGACAGAGATCTGGGTGGAGAGAGGTCATATCCAATTAGCTATCTGAGCCTGGGAAATGTAAAACCCCTATAAAAAGGGCAGCTAGATTAAACTCATTGATGTTTGCTGAGGACTCAGTGTTGTGTTGTGGAGGCCAGTGAGTCTGCTAGACTTCATGGGGCTATGCCCTGGAAGAATGTCCCCTAAACTTTAACCTCTCCCATGGACTCCTGTGACATGCTGTCAATCACTCCCAGTGCCACTCCCCCTGTTGGCCCTTTGGCTGTTTAACCGCCTGTTAACCACATATGGTAAAGGTTGTAGCAGTTTCTTTGTTCTTTGTACCCTCATTGATACCCTGTCTGTTTACCCTTGTGTTTCCCTGCTGGTCACTGTAATCCTTTTCCTGCTCACACCTTCAGGTGATTGATTGTTGCTGTTGGCTCTTCCCCTTTTTACCAGCATATTGTCCTGGACCCTCTACCTCTCCCTGTCTTTGTCCTTGGACCCTTTCAGTGTGTATGCGAAATAAACTACCACTGGAAACCTATACAAAGACCCTTCCTGCCTCTGCCATCTTAGATAACCAGCCGCTGCGTGTGAGTGTGGTATTTGCTGTGTGCTTGGTGGAGCGGTCTCCTCATGGGGATGCTTCAGGAAGGTTGCAGCAATCTGCCATCTGCCCATGCTGCAACATCGTGTCCTGTGTCTGTCACCAACCCACGACTCCACATAACACTTGGAAATTTCTCATGTCCAGTCTTCTGAGAAATTACTGGTGTAATTTTATATATAGTAGAACAAAATTTAGTACATAGTCTGTGTTCGCTTGTTAAAGTGGAGCTTACTATCCTTACTTTTTTCATGGCAATAAATACATAAGGAGACCAGCATTTTACCAATAACTTTGTGTAAATATTAATGTTGTAATTCATAATTTTCCCCTCTTGTTTGTTTCACTAATATGCAGTTTTAGGTGAAACTTCAACTGTTTTAGAGATTAGGATATAAACGAAGATTAGAGTATATGAAGAAAGTTCTTGGTTTTGGAGGGGACTTATTGCATTCATAGAAACTAATGCCCAAGTAGTATTTATTGTGCATTAGTATTCTAGTGTTCATAACTAAGTTCATAGGGGTTTAAACTCATTTAACTTAAATGTTCTTATTGGTAACAATTAAAGGACTAATATGAGTTTCATGAACAGTAACATGTACATCCATATACAGGGTTTATTCAGAGGCATTTTAGAGCAACCCCATACTGCTGTGTTTTCATCAACTTTATCTCTAAGATGTCCTGTTTTTTTGGGTGTAAAAATGAGGTGCCATAAATCATTTAGCCCAAATATTCCAAGTGTATAAGAACTCAGTATCTTTTATAACTGGTAGTTCTGCTCTGACAAGTGTTTATCCAGATTATACTGTCTAAACTATATGGTAATTTGCATATCAGAGATGGTGACATGGGAAACAGTCAACTGCAATACATTTTTTTTTTTTTTTTTTTGTTCTTAAAATTCTTTATGTTAATCACATGGAGTGTTTCTAACTATGCAGGTAACAGACATATATTATAATCTAAGTCTATTTCTTTTTATTGGAAAAGGACAGGCCATGATGTTATTCCAACAGTTCAGATGCACTCATAATTTGCAATACGTTTGCCTGAGAAGGTCTGGTTCTCAGAGGTAATGCAATAGAAAGGTCAGAATTCTGATGTTTATACTGAAAGTAGAAGTGTAATAAATCCTGCAAAATAACCATTAACATGCACATCATTCTTTCAGAAAGAATTTTATCATCATTATGTCATTCTCATTGATATTCGGTGGAAAGAGCTGAATTGGCTCTACTGAACTGAATACTCTGTGTGTTAGTTTTGGGTTAGATAATTCCTATTCAGTACAGCACTTAAGAGAAAAGCAAGATTAACACCCAGTTCTGTTTAAAAACTAGTATTAACAGCTTAGTAAAAGTACATCAAATTTCTTTTAGTTTCAAGGATACGTAATGAAGTTCTTAGGGAATTTTCAGCCTCAGCTGTAAAACAGCCCAACTTCGCATCTGTCACATCTCTTCCCTACATGCCAATTAGGTATGGCATATAACTTTCAAAGAATATCTGAAAATGAACAGGATGCTCCTGAATCTTTTATAGCTTGTTCCAGAACTTATTTTAGATAACTTTGCTATTACTCTTGTGGTAGCACAGATGTGATAAAAATGTGTTCTCTTCTTGTGATCTAGTTGAGTATGATTTCCAAGAAATCAATAAGAAATAAAACATAAAGTTCCAAATATTTGATGGCTTTTTTTTTTTTCCTAATTCCCATTGTAAGTTACATCAGTGCTCTTGCAGGAACTGTAGATGATGCAAAGTCCTTCTGGTCTTTTGGAATACAGTCAGTGCAGGTAGCTTGATGAGCAGCTGCAGTGGGAGCTCTGGGTGTTTGGAGCCCAGGCAAGAGGTCATGCACCACTAACCCTTTGCATAAAAAGGGGCATGGGGACCTGTGCCCATTCAGGTGACCAGACACTCAGAGACGCCGCAGAAGCTGAAGAGCCCAAGATGCTTCCACATGCTTTGAATATGAAAGTATAAAAGCCCAGGATTTTCTCTGTTCGGGGTCCCTCCTCAGAGGTACCAGCTCAAGCTGTTACTTTATTGCATGGTTATTGCATCAAGACTAAATTATTTTAAGGATTGACACATCTGAGACTGTGCTATAGGGAATTTGGGGTCGAGCCAGTAAGGAGACCTAGTATGACTATGTGAGTTTGCTGTGAGTAGATGTCAAAGGGCCTCTCTCCCAGCTCAGTTGATCCAAATGTGACGGCCAAAATAATATGATATTCAGGAATAATCTACAGGATGTTCTAAGTAATTCAAATCTCTGAGATTCACAGTTTTTGCCATTGGCCCATAGGTAATAATTGATGTATAGTTACAGATTACAGCATATCATTGAATGAAGTTTTGGTCTGCCATACAGTAAAGTATTTCTGGTAACTGTCACCTATTTAAACTTTTGATCTACTCATGCCAGGAAGGTTTAGCATTATATTTGTTGTCCAGCCTGTCTACCATCAGCACTAACTACCTTGATATCTTCAAAGTTTTGTACCCTCAAAATGAAACTACCTCCACCTACCCCTCTACTAGTAAACCTGATGTGGACTTCTGTACTTCAGGGCTTGTGTGAGTGGTTGCAGTTGCTGTTTGCTCCCTTCTGGCCTCCATATATATTTCCATCCTGTAGTGACTACAGTTGCTAGGGGCAATGATGTATGCCTATGTCTCATTCTAACATAGAGCTTGAAACACATCTGAATCCAAAGGACAGCACTATCAGACATCCCATTTTAAACACAGGAAAATTTTTTGGTGTCTCATAAAATGAATCTATTTGTATTTTTTTTCAGAAAGTGCTTTCTAGAACAGCAAACATTTTTCTGCAGTTCTCTAAATGTATCATTAAATTATTTTAAATGTATCATTGCTGCTTGAGTGTAGTTTAAATCCTAAGAGAATCCCCTAACTTCTCACTGAAAATCCTGCATGTCCTCAGCGTCCTCTGAAATGTGAAGGATTGACTCTTCCATTTCCTGGGATTCTCACTGGTCCCAGGGTTCAGCATGTAGGCTTCCAGAGCAACAGTAATATCTGTCATTTTGAATGAATACAAATCTCTAACAATCCATGTTTGTACAGTCCCAGTGGAAGCATGTTGTGTCAGCTGTGCTTGCGGTACTTTAACGGCTTTATTAAGTCAGCTGGCAACACACCCTGTCTCCAGGCACTGGCTTTTATGGCAAAGGACCTAAGAGACATTTTTGTCCCTTTCCTTTTTTTTTTTTTTTTTTCTTTTTTTCCTTTTTTCCCCCCTCTTATCCCATGTTAACTAGCTGTCAGAAACACAGGTAGTGTTTTTATAGAAATCTTATGGGTGTGTTGCTATGTTCGTAACACCCACAAAATAGTTTACAGATGAGCACTTTCACCCACCCACACATACATGTGCACGCACTGTGAAGTACCTTTATGCAGTCTGGTATTAATTATGATCAACCTATTACCAGTGATCGATAGAGAAGCTGTGCAAAATTTATAAATTATTTTAACCAGCTCCCTTAGCCCATGTAGCCATTTGAAAGGAGGCTATGACAAACTGCGTGTATTCCAGTAAAATTCCATGCATACTCTGTCCAGTGGCCTTTTATGTAAGAACTGTACTTTCTGTTTGTTTAATGTAGAGAAAATTGTTTAATTGGTAAATGTTAAAATATTAGTTTGCTTAAATCATGTTTTGAGAATCAGTTGTTCAAAGACTGAACTTTGCAGTGACATTCAGAATCTTTTCTCTTGCAGCCGTTTCGTAGAGTGACGTTTTCTGTTGTGAGTCAGCCTCAGGACCCGCATCAAGGGTCATTGCAGAGTTGCTATGACAGCGGTCTGGAGGAGTCAGAAACACCAAGCAGTAAGAGTTCATCAGGGCCAAGACTGGGTGCCCTTCCACTCCCAGAGGACAACTACGAAAGGACTACGCCGGATGGCAGTGTTGGTGAGGCAGAGCATATGGAAAATGGTAGGGGCAAACACAACATTCACACACATAATCTCACTAGCAAGTGATACTAAGTAGACTTTTGAAAGGTCAGTCCAAAACCATAAATAAATATATTAAATAATTAATATTGTAATTATTTGATTTTAAAGTTTGTTAAAATGCAGGTATACAAAATAATGTAACATAACACCACTAATTAAAACAGCTTTTTTTTTTTTTTTTTTTTTTACATTACTTAAAATCTGTACTGCAGAAGCAGTTAAAACATTGAAAAAAAAAAATCAGTAGAGGTCTGGGGAAATGGTAATTGAATAAAATTATATACTTTTCATTTTAGATAAAAGACCATAAAGGACATATATATCCTCATTTCCTTCCATTTTTGACTAAAAACCTACTTAGGAAATTTCCCAGAATGTGATATATACAGTATCAGGAAAAGAAAATAGTATTTTAAAACCCCACTCTAGAGAATTGTCTTTTCCCCAAAAAAGTTGTATAGACTGTTTTCAAAATAAAACACAATGTCAAGTTCATTCTTCGTTATTCAGAATAGAAGAATATTACTTTCCTTTTCTTCACATGTTATTTTGGACAGTACTTTTACATTTTATTTAAATTCAGGGTCCATTTATGTAGAAGGGGAAAATGCTAAATACTTATTTGCTCCACAGTAATTCTCATATTATTAAAAACAAAAAAATGTTAGCATAAGTCTCAGGTTAGGTTGTTTTTCTTTCTATCTAAAACTATTCAGGATTTAAAAACCAAAAGGACTTACTAATTTTGAAATATATTTTACCAAACATGAATATTTCACTGTTCTCCACTTTTTGGCCTTGATCTAAAGTTTTATGAAGTCAGAGACTGACTTCATTGTATTTTAATTTGCCCATAAAATAAATTAATACATGTTAAAGTGTACAGATTTTTGATAACCAAAGAATTAATGTGTTTTCTAATTCAATTGTAATAGGTGGGTACATGCAAGAAGGGTGGTGTATTTTTTTGTTATAGAATGAATTAATTAGTTTGGCTAAGTGCATGTTAGTTTTTTGGAGATTGCAATACTGAATAATTGCCCTTGGGGTTTTGTCATATCTGAGATAGACATGTCAACCCATTAAAACTATGCTATTTTTCATGGTAAGATATTTCCAAATCTAGTGTGTATTGCTGAAGAATGGCTACAGCAGTCTACATATGCTTGAACTATATATCCCAACAGCAAAAAAAGTAATTGACTAAAAAGGAAGACAGTACTATCCATCTAAAGTTATATTAGGTTATGTACATTTATACATTTGCATTTATATATTTTCCTTCGTTGTTTATATGAATATATTTGTTTACTTTTCATTTTACTGGGGATGTGGTAGGGGGAAAAAGTGATAATGATATTAGTGGAAAAAAAAGTCAGAAAAAAGCTTGTAGAATTTTGTACCTAAATTGGGCTGATTATTTTGTTTTGTTTTGTAGTGAGATTTTGTGGTTAGAATGATAAAATTAAACAACTTGTCAATTCCCTTGGACATCATGCAATGTAGATAATTTGTAGAGGTGAAATTCTGAATTCAGAAAGTATTTCAATATAGGATATGCATGCTCCATGCTGGAGAAACTGTAGAATCAGAAATTAATATATTTTTTAATGTATTTGGTAGCCAATGAAAAAGAAAATCACACTAACTGAAGTGCAATTGAAAATGGAAAGTGCTTGAGCCATGTCATAGGTTAAAGCAAAATAGTTAAGTTTTTGTATTGACGCAAAAACTGGAATTGCATTCTAATAACTAAAATATTTTAGGTGCTTCTTTTTTTGAAAATAGTTTATTTTATATTTGGTAGGATGAATTTCTTGGATTTGGTTTTAAAAATAGTATTCTAACATTAATAGATGGAAATATAGAGGTAGATAAATACATTAGTTCATGGCGAATGAACAAAAAAGTCTCCAGTAAAAAAATTTTGCATGGTAATATATGAATAGAACCAGGATTTCCTGCTTATTTATAAAACCTTGAACAGAAATCTTTAAAAGCTGGGTGATATTGTGGTGAAAATTTTACTGTACAGATTTCTGGATTTTTCTGTCACGTTTTAAAGACAAGATTTCAACAGTGGCAAGTCATCTATCTTCAGAAATTTCTGTTAACAATAATCTATAAATAATGATGGAACAGGGTGGAATACACTTTTTCTCCTTCATATATGTATTACCTGATATTTGAGTGAGAGTTTTCTGTCACATGATTCTTAAGTCCACTTGTCTTTTAATTATTGAATTGTTCAAATTCTGATAATGTAATCTTCAATAATAATGGATCATTCTGATCCATTATTAGAAAACAGAATTGAAACTGAAGTTGAAATAGAATTGAAATTGAAGTCTGTCAAGCGTTCATTTGTCACATTTAATTGGAATCTAGGTAATCTGCAGTGTTTGGCTAGGTTAAGTTTTAATCAGGATTTATATTGGATTTTTATGAAGATTTTTCATGGAAACAGCATTTTGGAAGTGATCTTGATTATTGATTTTTACTTCAAATATTTACCATTTAATTTCAGTTGGTGTGAAACAATGCAGTTATAACTAATTGCTTTGGATTTATTTTCATTTTAGAATTTGAAATAATAATCTTCAGCAGAGTACATGAAACCTTCCAAAATGTTTCTTTTTTTTTTTTTTTCCCCAAGCCTAGATGACTAAGGAAAAGAAGTAATCTTTATAGTTAAGGCAAATTTAAAAGATTCAGTTCACTGCCAGAGTATATGGGAAATTCAACTTTCTATTTGCTCTTAAGAGTTTCTTTACATTTTCTCAGTTGAGAATAAAACACTGGAAAAGTGGAAAAAAATGGATAAGGGGGTTGATTTTCTTAGAATATGGTGAACATTGCCCAGCAGCCTACATGACTGTCAGATGTAGATTGAAGTTTTATTCTGCTGATTAGCTGTGGTGTCAGATGTGGGAGAAAAAAAAAAAAAAAAAAAAAAGAAAGAAAAAAAATGTTAGCAGATTGACTGTGAAAATTCAGTATGCAAAGATCTTGTTAATTAGTAAAATCTGCAGAACCAAAAGTAACTTCTGAGTTAATTTATCCCCTGCCCTTGGAGCTTTTCTTGCAAAGAAATTCTGCTCATATGTGCAGCTTTCTCTGATTTTGCTGTTAGAATGGTACTGTCTTAATGTAAATTGCACAATAGTTTTCTGAAGACCATTTTCATTACATTCATATTTGTATATCAAGGGCAAATACATTACCATGGTAAATTAGTTTTCCTGGTCTTTTGTCATAGCTTTCTAGTTCTGACCATGCCTAATGCAAGGTCTCAGAAGAAAATTTTGAAAATACTCTGTGACAGAAACTTCCAGAATTACTTCTCCTCCTGACCTCAACAGTTAATAGTCAGCATGTGATTTTCTAAATAATAATAATAATAATAATAATAATAATAATAATAATACTAAAAACCCACTAATTTACCAAAAGACAAGTTACTGGCCTGAGCAATGTCTTTCAACAGTGAAATCCTCTGAAGGCTAACAAAAATATTTGGGGTTCATTTGTTTTTAACTCTTATTTAACTGTTTAGTGTATATTCCTTTTTTTTTTTTTTTTCGTTATGAAGAAGAGCATGGAAGCATTCCATTTTAGTTTTCAAATACTATGGATTGTTATGTTTCCTTATAGTTTACCTTTCCTCTGAATTATAAATCTTCCTAGGTTATAAATCTTCTTCTGACAAAGGTAGGGATAGCTGGAGATGTATTCTCAAAATCTGAAGAATGGACAAGACAGCCTTTTCATACTAATTCCTATGTTATTAAAGACATGATCTTTAAATGGAGCTTTCATTGTTCTGTTTTGTTTCCCTTCACCTGGTTCCATTAGGTCTCTCCCATGTTTCTTGCAACTCTCAGAAATATTTCATTATATTCTCCCTACTCCCTGATTTCTGCATTCCTACAGTTTATTTATGCATGTAGTGGCCTAATCAGTTTTGGTTTTTTTTTTTTTTTGTTTAATTTAGCTAGAGGACCTACAGTGGTGCAACTGCAGCACTGCAGGTTATGGCTTGTATGATCTTCCCTCGAGATTTGTTTCCATGCAGTCCTAATTAAACTGCATGCCACACCTGAGATATCTGCCTTAAAGCTAGCTCAGGTACTTCTACACGAACATGTCTTTGATCTGCAGCACAGAATGTTAGGTTAGCCCATGTTTCAATATCAAATACGGTTGGAGAAGAGCAGTCGTCTCTGTGAAAGAAGGAGAATAAGGAATGGTTTACAGATTCCATTTTTGCAGGGGGAAATGGAGTAAAGAAAGATTAAGTGACATGTCTGAAGTCACAGATAAAGTAAGGAGCAGAGCTTAAAAAGGAGCTCAGAATTTTTGTGATTCAGTTACTTGACTCCCACAAAGAAATCAGTAGATAAATTACTCTCTGACTGACACATGAAATAAAAGCCAGGGAAGAGAAGTGCATTACCTTGGTTCACATAGTCTGATAATATGCTCTGTTTTCAATTACAATTTCGGATTTAGACTGCAAGAGTCAAAGTTCCACCATCAGTATAAAGAAGGGGCTCATAATATATGAAAGGATGGCTTGAAAATGTGAATTTTGACAATTAATACATATAATTAATTTTATCTATCAGAGCATTCTATCACTTTTGCTTGTGAAATAGATTCTTAATCTCTTCTCTGGACCAAAGTGTGAAATGAAAAAATACATTAATTTAGAGAAACCATGTTTACAGAATCTATTTTCCTTTAGCTTTTTGTAGTGCAAATAATACAGCTTAAGACTTCTTGAAGACTTAACTGTCCTTATTGTATAATGGCAAACAGACTCATTGACTTATTTCAGAGAATGACTGCATTTTTGCAGTTCCTGTTATTTTCAAATGTTCTTTCCTCCTGAATTCAGGTCCTAAAATTGCATGAGAATAATTTTGTTTTAAAACTGTGTCCTGAAAGTGCTGATGTAAGTAGTCCATCTCAGAA